AGTAAGTGATTTGGAAGCTGTCACTCTCAGCTCTTAATGACTTATATTAAATAGTGATAGTTGGACTTGGAGTTTGGCCATAGCTGATTATTCATGCCACAAAAAGAGAGTGCTCTGAAACTGTCACACCAAATTCTATTGTCTTGGCTTGCTCAGATGTTACTAATAAAAAGTGAATAGCCTCTTGTCTCCTCTAGTTTGATCTTGTAATATGTTGTATGTCTGTTTTAAAGCAGCACTATTTATTAAACCGTGTTCGAAAAGCCAGCCATTCCTTCTACATTTTGTGCACATAGCAACAGCCATCACTATTCTGTCTGACACTTCCATAATAGATTGCAGAGAGGAACGCTGGCTGAAATTTGTTACGCTGTCTGGGAAGACTGATGAGTCTGACGGCTTAAATGCACACATCCATACTGAGAAAGATTTGAAGTAAATGCTCACTTGGTTTGCTTTAAGCTTGAACATTGCTGTAGTATTGCCGTAGCACTGCTCCACTCACAGTCAGCAACGGAGGCATAGTTTTTAAGGAGTTAAGACAAATCTTTGAACAGTTCTACTGAGAACTGCATATCCTCTGCATGCCTGTTCAGTCCATATATTAGTCATACTTTACAACTCATGTGTAATTCCTCAAGTTTGTCTTTCTAAATTTCTCAAACATAATTCTCAGAATGCGTAACAGCTGACTAAAGTAAACTAAGCTCTTCTCGGGAATATTTTAATGCCTTGCTGAAAGTTTTCTAACCTGACATGCCGAGGCTGAGGGGAACTTTAGATTTTAATTGTTTGCTCTGCAGTTGGTGACTGGAAAACCATAACAATGCAAGTGCATTAAAAGCTTGAATATTTCAAAACACTTAAGCAAAGAAAATATAAAAATTTTATACTTTCAATGAAGTTGCACAATCCCATTTTTCTTCACCAGAATACTGGCATGAGCTGAATTATAAAAGAGCTGTGTGGGAGTGTTCTGACACCGATGCGTGTTAGTAAAGGTTATATATTGATGAACTTCGCAGGTGTGGGTTACGCTTTATAGTGCGTATGGAAAGGGTGTGTTTTTTATCTTTTCACCCTTTCTCATTGGTGTTGCACTTACTCCATTTTGAGGCTACATTAGCCCCTAACTTTGTTAGCGTTAACTTGCCAGTTAAAATGCTTAAACTGTTGCAAGTGTTTATATGGTGATGCCCCAGCAGAATGAAGTTTTAGGACAAATCAAAGCTGGCTGGAATTCTTGTGCTCATTACACACAATCCATGCGATGAACATATATTGATTATACATATGAGGTAGGACTACAGCTAACAATTATTTTAACTATTGATTAAGCTGCGCACCATTTTCTTTACTCAATTGATCGCTTGGTCGATAAATTGTCGGAAATAAAAAATGCAAATCGAGTTCCTCGTGTCCTCTGGATTGTCCTCTACAGTTTGCTCTGAGACTCATGCCTCCTAATCAGTCATGTTAAGTGCCTGTCCACATAACATGAGGTGTTAGGTGTTGATCTGTATTGTCGATGTCCAACGGTCCAAAAGCTAAAGATATTCATTGTACAATAGTATAAAATAAAGCAAACCAGCATAGCCTCACAATGGAGAAGAACTGGAGAATTTTTAGCATTGTGCTTACAAAATGGCTTAAACAAATGATCAGGAAAACAGTTGCAGCTAGTATAGGCATTTGTAAAGGGGTATGTATAGAAGAGATGAATCTGTTTCAATATTTTTTTTGAAGTACACAAAATTGCATGCCCACTGTGATCTGAGCACAATAATAACAAGGCAAAAGAAAGGGAGAAGAAAAAATGAAAACACAAAGAATCAGCACCCTCCCAATCCACAGTGATATACATGTTACTTTAATTGGATGAGTTTGACAGATAGTGAACATAACCACTTCTTTATAACACAGTCAAGATAGTCCCAGTGAGCTTTAATCCAGACTTCCAGGGTTTAGCTTGAAAAACAGCAATGTATGTAACAATATATGTTCACAGCTTCAAATTTATATTTCTGATGGATTTGCTTTGATTTTATGTCAAGATTGGAGCTTTAATTATATAAAGTCAATATAGCAAATCAAAGCACTTAGTTAAACCTAATCAGTAATCTTTATTCACACACTGTCAGTCACATTCACGCACAGATGCTGGTGTAGTTCCATACTAATATTGTATAGAATGATATCTGGCAAATTAATCTGTTCAACCAATTTAGTATCAATGTGATTAATCAAGAGCCACATCTTAACAGAAGGTGTTTCTTTACTATCCCACAGTGTTGACAAAATTTGTGTTAAGACCAGAAAATTGGAAGACTGAAAAGCATATATATAGTTTAATAATGTTTTTGTTTATTTATCATAAGTTATTGGAGGTAAATGAAGGAAAAAGCTTTGTTTGTGTAACGGTATACTATGAAACTTTATATTCATTTTCTCACTCCATTTTAACCATTTCACTGAATGCATTCGTTTATGTTTTTGTCTCGTCTAATAACCTTTTCCTGCCTTTTGTCACTTTCCATGTATGGCAAGTTGATTCACGAAAATCATTATTCTGCTCAGTCACTTTTCTTTGAATTGCCTCATTATTATTTGCCACAGAGCAAATACTGTATACCTAATATCAGCGGGTTTTGCAATAGAGATAAATTAAGTTCATCGCCTGGTTTTTGGTTTCACTTTGACACTTTCCTTTCATCTCACCACCATACCACTTCCTCTTTGCAGCATGAACATTCCTCCATTCCTCCTCTTTAAACCCCGGCTTGCGTCTCTCTCTCTCTCTCTCTCTCTCTCTCTCTCTGTCTCTGTGGTGTGTTTCCTCGTCTCCCTCTCTAAACCTATTCTCCATTTAATCAGCTCTCTCAGGACTCAGTTCTGTATAATTAGAGACTGAAACTTTAATCACCATGGATCCGGGGCAGGGAGAGCAGGGCATTTCAAATAGACACAAGCAGGAAATTAGCATGAAAGAAGGTATGGAAACGTAGAAACGAATGTGAAAACTTGCTTCATCTAAAGTCATGACATTGATTAAGTGCACATATTCACAGACAGTGGAGACATATCCTCGGTTTACGCAAGACAAATAAAAGTCGAACTTCCATCTCATAATCAGGTCTGGTAGTTCTTGACTTGTTCACAATGCTCAGCTAATTGTTCCATGGCGGCATTGTGCAGCTGAATGAAAAGGTCACAGTTTGCAGGAAGTCCTTACATAACAACAGCTGTCTCCTCACCTCCTCTCCTCCTGTCTCCTCCTATCTGCTCACCTCTACCCTCATCTTTTTCTGTCTTTTTTCTTGTATTCATACTGGCATTCATTTGACCCTTTCCTGTACAACAACATATTCTCTCCACTCTCCCCTTTACTTATTAATCTGGCTGGAGACCATTCACTTTTGCTGTATATTAACATTTTGGCAGAGTGTGGTGAAAAGCGGACTGGACATTTATCGTTTTCTGGAAAACTCTGCCAGCTCCAGTGGGAAGTGCCACCTATTTCTTCCAAACTTTTAGTGTTTACCTCAATAAAACACAAGATGGGAATTAAAAAGTGAAGATCGACATGTTTGGCTGCCTATTTCTGTTGAGTTTGAGAGGTGCAAAATATAACTGAGATATTTGGAAATGAAAATTTCAAAATTTTAAAGTAGCTTTAATTGATATTTTTATAATAACAAAGTGAAAGGGCCCGTAGTGATTAACCTACAGACAATTATTATCTGAATCTGCAAATCCCCTCTGCTTTTTTACGAAGCTTTATAGTGAGTTTCCCCTCAGTGTTTAACCCCACATTGCTTCTTATTTGACCGGGCCACAGTATGAAACCAGGTTTATGGCACAAAAGTCAAACCTCTCCATTTTTGTAACATGATAAATGTCTGTGTCCTGAGAGTCCCACTGTAGGCCTGGAAAGCTGCTAGTTAATAAGGGTTGAACCCTGCTTCATGTTTAAAAGTGACACTGATGTGAGTCGACGGGGCGGACTTGCTAAGTTCCTGAGCAGAGAGTCTTGGCCAGCTGACGAGGTGGAAACATGTTAGTCACTCAGTGCAGACACAGCTGTTGTGTACCACTCAGCAAACTGAGTGGAGACAAACCTACATCTTGGGCCTTTTTACTTAAATGTTGTTGTTTAATTTAGCTGGTGTAGTTCATGTTTTGGGCCCCTGAGGAGCAGAGACATAGTTTATCTGCACATTTATAACATTACGATACTTATCAACTGCAAACTTTAATGCTTTGACCTGCACATAGTCAGTCAGTATACACCTGAAATGGGTATTTTGACCTATCAGATTGTATGTTCTTATTATAGTAAAGGTGAAGTTAGGCAAACTTTGTTGTTTATCCATCTCTGCTATCAAACTTTCAAGTGTCCTTTCTCTCTTCGCTGGCATCACAGAGCTGCAGACAACTTTTTTTCTTTTGTTGGCTGGGCTACAAATATTCAGCAGACGTTATTAGTGCTCCTATTGTGAGCTGCCAAGCTATTAAAGATGCTGATATATTAAAGTGCACCACAGATCATGTTTTAATGCTGACAGATTGTTCCCAATTATGCCCTTAAATCTGTAAGCATGCCAAATGTGCAGCAGGACATACACTTCCACTGCAATGAAGAGATGTGAGAATGTGTGTGCACAGCAGTGTGGCTGTATGTCAAAGCATATGCTTACATGTACAGGTGAAATAATTAGTCAATTAATCGATTTGTCAGTCAACAGAAAACTACTTTGCAACAATTTTGGTTAATTAATTAAGTGTTTAATCTTTATTTTCCAAGGCATGATTTCAAAATGTTGCTGGTTTCAGCTTCTCCAGGGTCCATTCTAAATGGAATATATTTGGATTTTTTTGTGCATACAAAACAAGCATTTTAAAAAAGTCACTAATGATTTTGACTTATTTTCAGCAGGAAAGATAAGATACTGTCATGTAAAGCTACTATTCTAATGTACTTTTTTGGTCTGTTTTCCTAGTATGAATTCAAGGCCAAGAACATCAAGAAGAAGAAGGTCAGCATTGTGGTGTCTGTGGACGGGGTCAAGGTGATGCTGAGGAAGAAACAGAAGGTAAATCACCAGTGACAAACTCTAAAAGGAATTAGATATAATCATTTTCCGTTGGATTCACAAAGTTAACCCCATAGTCTGTAACACTCAATAAAAATGCTTCATCGGTGCTTAATCACAATCATCTGTCTCCTACACAGAGAAAAGAATGGTCATGGGACGAGAGCAAGATGATGATTATGCAAGATCCCATTTACAGGTCAGTCACAAGTCTCAATCTTTGACAAATTAAGATGTTCATACTGTGTGTAAAACAAATTTAAAATCTTGCTATCTTTGTCACTTGCTTTGTACACTCAGGGGATTAAACTGTGTGATATTCAGTCCCGTCTGTTCTTTGCACTCCCCATGTTCTTGTTATCTTAACCAAAGTAATTACTGTGAGTATACTGCACATAATACATACTGTATGCCTCTCAGTGGAAATTTGATCCTTCAACTCGGCCTCTGCGGATGAAGCTGAAGCTTGCTTTATAGGCCATCACATGTACTTTACCATGCAGGACTAACGTGCTTGAATGTGCTATACTGTATATGCCAAATGCAGTTACATTCATAAGACAGCATGATGAATAATCTATAGCTTGTGCATGTAGATGGAAGAGCTTGTGTTTGTATACTTGAAAGTGTAATTTTTCCAGGCGAAGCATGCCTACTCCCAGATTATATTCACAGTAATCTGTTATTTAAGACCATTTGGTACAACAAAGTTTCAGTTTGTTTGACAGAGTTGAGTTTTGTTTGTCTTCCCAAAGAAAATGCATTCATTTATGTCAACCAATCATCAGCAAGCCTGTGAAGCTGTCAGTCACTGCTAAACAGCAAAGTGTCAAAATGATGTCTGTCAGGTGCTGAGAAGTAAAGAAAGGAATAGAGTGCGAACAATAATTAAAGATATAATTTTTGCTTAGGAAGAAATTACTAAATGTGAGGGTTTTTTTCTTGTTTTTTTTGGCTGACTTTAAACAAGCAATTATAGCTAATAAGGAAACCTCCTCATGGAAATGGAAATCCCAGAGATGGAACGGAGTGGGCGACCACTTAAAAATGCCTTAACATTATACACCAGCTTGTGTGTGTGTGTGTGTGTGTGTGTGATTGTAAATTATGTATATATATGTGGGAGGATCTCATTTGGCAAAGCCACACCTCATCAAGGGACTGTGTGTGTTAAATATAATTATCCTTGCTCGTGTTTCTGTGCGTGCTTGTGCACTGGGGGATATATAGTATGCTCTGTGTCATGTGACTTTCAGTAGCACTGTAGATGGTCATAATTTGTTTACCTGGTTCCCAGTGGACATGTTTTATAGCAGTGGCGCTACAGTAGGAGATGCCGGGCTGACCCTTTGCTCTGCCAGTTTACTGCAGAGTGTGCTGTTGCAGGGTTGCTGGCAAGTACAGAAGCAGACGGGCCAGCATACTTTAACAGTACAAGACCCAAAGAGTATACAGTAGTGGTGTGGCATATATTCATATGAAGTATTATATTGTAAATACAGTGTTCTCTTTTCGTTTAACGTCTATGCATTAGGTCAGTTGTTGATTTCTAAACTGGGTTTTAATGTAATTTGAGGATGGTGATGGTCAAGAAAGGGTTGGCTCATGTGCAAAAAAACTTCTTTTACAATTTGAGGTTTTTGCAGCTTTTGTGAATTTAAATTCGGTGTCATGTTTTGCAGGATTTTCTACGTGTCTCATGACTCCCAGGACTTAAAGATCTTCAGTTACATTGCCAGAGATGGTTCCAGTAATTCCTTCAGATGTAATGTCTTCAAGTCAAAGAAGAAGGTACAAGAAGTCCACCCATACATCTCCTGATTGTAGACGGCTGATTACAGATTGACATTCTGGAAAATATGCTTTTTCACTTTCTCGCTGAGGGTTGGATGAGAATATCGAGGCGGTTAGCACTAAGGCTGGGAAGTTCACTACAAACAGTTTTCTGTTTGGCTTAACTCTTTAATAGACATTAAAGGAACTGTTCGACCATATGTAAAATAAGCCTATTTGCTTTCTTGCCAAGAATTGATTAGGAGATCGATACCACTTTTATATCTGTATATATATATATATATGTCTGTTAAATATGAGCCAGCAGGTGTTTAGCTTAGCTAAGCATAAAGACTGGAAACCATGGGAAAAAGCTTGCCTTGCTCTGTCCAAAGGTGGAAATCTGCCTGTTTTCAACTCTAAAGCTCGCTCATTAACACGTTATATGTCTCCTCCTGCTTCCAGTCTTTATGCTAAGCTAAGTTAACCGCGTCCTTGCTGTTAATATTTAATGGACAGACATGGGAGTGGTATCAGTCTTCTCATGAGAAAGTGAATAAGCATATTTACCAAAGTGTGTCAAACTATGTAACAGTGTTAGACATCAGATAACACTTCTCTATGTGTCATCACCCCAGAGATTCCCTGTTTAAATAACTGAAATGAAACCATCAATCAGTAACCATGAGACATGTTTCTCATGGCTGCATTAGATTACTTTGATCAGATTGCCTTTTCTTAACTGGAAAAAAAAAACCTGTACAATTTTTCCTCTTACCACCCAATTTGCTGCTGCCATTGCTCCTTGATGTAAAATCCCCTAGCTGAATAAGTGTGAGGTTCACTGTGGAACATACCGCATGCAGAATGTGATTCACTTTATCTGCTTTTGTGTCCAGCTACCTGTGGCTAAGGGTTATCTGTACTCTGTGTTTTATTTCTTCATTATGTTAGCTTAATTAATCAATTTGGGTTTTAAATTTGATTTTTTAATTTAATTTCCGGTAGCTTAGCAAATATCCGGTGGCTTAGCACCGGCGATCCATTTCCCACAGTGAATGCAGAATAGATACACTCGGGAACAAGGATCACAACTGCGTATTTAAGACAAGCATCCCTTTACCTTTTTCTCAGTCTGAGATGTTATCATGTGTATCCCCCCCGTTCTTTCCGTCTACCTATCACTCTCTCTCCCTCCTCTCTTTCCCTGTCAGACTCAGGCCATGCGTATTGTGCGGACAGTAGGTCAGGCCTTTGAAGTGTGCCATAAGCTCAGTCTTCAGCATGCTGAGCAGGATGCAGACGGACAGGCCGATGGAGAGAGTGACAAGTCCACAGAGGAGCCCAGCAGTCAAGGTAAGGCCTACCTGAAAGGGTTTACTTCAGAGTCCGCTTACCTGAATGTTTTAATGTCGAAATTGAATAACAACCAAATGCACCTTTTCCCTCCTTGCAATGGCTGTAAATAGATCCATTATTGTAAGTATGACAAGTTGATTTACTGCACACTTCACTGGTGTTAAAGTCAAACTCAAGTTGCTAGCACAATTAATAAAAAAATATTAGAGAAAAACATGAGGAAAAAATGTGGACCAACCAAAACAATTGTGGAAACAAATGCACACACCATACAGAAAGCTTTGTGGGGACTGGGGTGTGTTTCACCAATAGCTTATTCTCTTTGTAGATGCTTTATAAAGTGAGTGACTAGCTTACAAAGATATAATGCCAACCATTATTCGCAGAGAAACACGCAGGTATATTTAAACACACATTTTACCTTAACATCTGGTCTGAACAGTGTAATTGTGAAAAACGTGCATTTATGAGCCTTTATTGGGCATTTTGGTCACATGGGGACCATCTCTCTCCTGACTAAAGCTTGACCTTGTCCGTTTAGTCTGATTACACGCCTCTTTACGGCCTAAATTGAGCCATCAACCCTCACTAGCTCATTAATTCAGCACAACGATCAAACAGTAACAACACGGATGTGCGGTTACACTGGACTATAAACAGATTTAAGGGACAACATGAAACCAATCTGGATTAGAGTATTCTCAGAGGCCTCGTGCTACGTTTATTTCATGTGGGAAGGATGGGAAAGATCCCTGTGATTACAGTTTTCACGTCGTTGGACAACACAAGAGGGTGATTGCCAGCGTAGTAATGAGTGTAATTTGCTCAGTGAATGAATAGTTGTCTGGCACTGAGCTATAGTTGTGTGACAGGCAGAAGGGGTAAAATACTGTGTATGTGCTCAAAAATAGAATTAATTTAGGGTTTAGTTAGCTAAATGAAGGCAACCATGTTTGTATGTTTTTTAATAGCCTTGAATGCATTATTTTACTGTAAGGATGGTATTTCAGAAGGATATTACATTGCACAAATATACTGTATAAGCTGTTTTTATCTTCAAAAAAGTTCATTTTGTGAAACATGCTTATTTGCTTTCTTTCTTTAGATGAGAAGATTTATACCACTCTCATGTGTCTGTTATATATATATATAAGGCTCCAGCCAGCAGATGGTTAGCTTAGCATAAAGGCTGGAATATTTCCCAAAACATTTTTTTTCCTACTCTAAATTCAAATTTAGAGTCTCATGTATGGTTTATTGATATGTTCGATATGATGTTAATGTTGTTTCATCAACGTCAGTTTGCTGTTTTGAATGACACTGATACTTAGTGCCCATGTTCTAAACAGGAACAAAACACTGCACAGTAGTTGTGATATTAATCAAGAAGCGAACAATGTATTCATTAACAGGTCGTAAACTGACGGGAGCAGAGCAAGGGGAGGACGAGGAGGAGGACAGCAAACATGGGGGAAAGCAAGGAGGAGAAAGTCCTTCGGCTGGAGCTTCGCTGTGTGAAAAGGCAGTCAGTGAAATTCTGCAGAGTCTGGCTGAACTGAACGTGGTGAAACCTGGACAGACCATTATAGTAAGATACTGCGACACACACACACACACACACACACACACACACACACACATTGAACTGCTGAGGGCAAGAACGCTCTAATAAGTACACCGTATTGTGCCCGATACATTATAGCTGTCTTATAGTCCTGCAGTATGAAGGTGACCGGTCGTTCTTTTCTACTGATACTACAGCTATTGTGCGTATGTTTTAGTCTTTTGAAAGGGGTTAAGACAATTTTTGGACATATTTGTAGAAGCAGTGCAGTTGTGCTGCTAGGAGATGCACTTTCAACTTCAACTTTGAAAGTAACTTTAACAGTTACTTTCTATCACAGTTGGAGTGAAGCCTCCCCCCTTTATTACTGACTGACACTAGCAGTAGGGGTGAGGTAACAGCCGCATCCACATTTTAATGATTACAGCTTTCTTTACTCCAGACTGCCTCTGGCTTTGTAGCTACAGGAGCCTGCCCCTGCTTTGATTCACTGCTTTGGCTTTAGTGGTGTTTTGATGCTATTATCTAGGCATAGTGCTGCCAAATGGCTCATTGAACTTAGGAAGAAGTACAGTATAGTGCTTTCTCATCTACTGCAGTACCTGACCAGATCATTGATCTGCAGCTCTCCAAGTTGGCAGCAGATACCAAAGGTAAGAAATAACCTGGTCACTCTAGCATGGAGGTAAAAAGACTACAGTTTTGTTTCTCTGTGTTTGAGATTTGGCAGACTTTAAATCCTTATGAAGTTAGGAACTGACGAATTATCTTTCACATGACAGTGACAGGATGAAATGAGGCAAACATGCAGGCTTTGGTGTGTCGTGATGTGTTCCTTTGGATTTGTCACCAGAGCGAGTGTGGTAGACACAGCTGTTATCGTGCTACTAAAAGAGAGAAAGAGGGAGTGGGAGAGAGAGAGAGAGAGAGGGAGTGGGAAACCTGAATATTCCTGCTGGCTGTGAAAAGGGGGACACCTAATCCCAGAAACCCAGTCTGCTCCCTTTGATTTCTGAGAAACGCCACCATAATCCCATCGAGGGGTTCACGAACATCTGGTCTATGGAGATAAGCAAGGAGCGTGGGGAGGAAAAAGAGAGGGAAGGACAGAAAGAGATGTGGGAAGGAACAATGAGAGATCAGGATAATGGGGAAGATATGGATTACACAAGATGCTGGTTGTAATGGTGGACAAAATAACAGAAACACCTCCAAGACCATCTGAGGTCTGTAGGACTATAGGATTGTGTTCATTATCAGTTAAAGGCCCTGGAAGCTTTTTCTCAATCAGCTTTTTACTATTAAAAATGTGGTCCCACAATGCATTAGCCAAAGTTAGGACAGTTTAGGTCATTTCATGTGTTTTTTTGTCTGACCGTCTATCACTGGTTTGAGGTGGGCGGGGCTTAGTTCGAAAAAAAAAGTGACATCACATCATTCTGTACACCAATCACAGTTGAGCAACATTTGAGTCAAAGTCTGGTGACAGTTGGTGTTTTGTTTGTTTAGGTTGCCGGGCCACTGTCAGTCAGATGTTTCTGGGGCTTTGGTCTGCTCATTCGTTAGTTTATTTGTTTTGTCTATTCAATGTCTGAAAATTGTAAATAAAAATGCCTATTACAAATTTCCCACAGCCTAAGGTGACGTCTTTAAGTTGCTTGTTTTGTCCAACAGTCTTAAACACAAAGTTGTTTAATTTTCTGTAAACCTGTAAATATTTGTCCTTTTTTTGCTTGATTAATGACATAAAGGCTTAATTGGTCAAATAATTATCTGATAATTGACTGATCAATTAATCAACTTTTTTTTGCACTTGTAGTTTATACTGTTGTTAAAGCCCCTGAAAACTTGGGTTTAAAACCTGTGTATTTCTCTATATAATTAGCTATAGAGAAAGTTAGTATTAGTTATTATTTAGTAAATGTTTAACTTCACAAACTCAGATTATTTGCTTCATCACGACTTTGTGGGTGTGGCCGGATCAGATTTGATTGACCAAACAACCCACCAACCGTCAACTCCATTTGAACTAACTCCCACCCACTTCAGTCCATTCAGTGGAGCAGAGACAGAAACACTAAAATAGAAATCCCTCATGAAATGATCAAAACATTTCTAACTTTGGCAAAAAAAATACTGTTTAAATAGGATCTATTACTCATGGTCAGAAGTTTATTGAGTGGATTTTTTAAAGGTCTTTAAGCAAAAATTCTGTCAGTGTCAGTGTTGGTGACATTGACTTTTATTATTTTAGATGATTTCATAGTGCTAAATTAAAAGGTCTTCTTTATTTAAGGAAGAGGGTGATATACTGAGTTAGAAGCCCCTCTAAAGATAGCACTCACTGGAATGTGCTGTACTTTACAGTGTGCTACTTTGCCCTCTAGTGGGGCGATGTAGACGTTACAATAAACCCTGTACCACAATATCAAGTCATTTTATATGACAGCAGTAGCAATTTGTACTTTCTCACTAAAGACATCCACACACACACACACACATAAAATCCATCTCTCTTGTTCAGTGCTGATATTCCTGGAGACAGAGACACGCCATTGCTCTGTCTCGACTATGTGAGACAAGGAGGTGAAGTGAAAAGCTGCTTAGGGAACGTCTTATTTATTTGTGCTACCAAAGATCATCTGGACAATCGTCCACAGAGTAAAGAGACCGTGTGAGATAAATGGAGGCAGAGGAAGAAAGTATATGGGACGATAATGAGCTTAGAGATTATTCTAGTTCTTTTAAGGCTCCATGGGGCTCCAGATCAGTGGGTCGCAGTCCTGGTCTCATCGTCTCAGAAGACTGGGTGGTTTCTATCCTACTGGTCGGTTAATTGCATTCAGCTGGTGTCCAAGGTCTAAAAATAGACTGTTATGTGGCAAGTATGAAAAAATGGCAGCACATTAAAGTCCACTGAAGTACATTATGTCTTTGATTATTTCTGTGAGTAGAGAATGTGTCAGAGGAATTATACCCATCATTTCAGCTTAATGTACGTTGCTCTCACCGCCATTTTACTTGTGTCAATTTTTTTTTCTCTGTGTGTTTGTGGTCAGGACTTTGATCGAAGGTCCCTCTTCACTGTGACATCCCAAGGCGTTACTCCCAGCAGCCCTCGCGCTCAGTCTCTCACTCCGCTGGCATCTCAGCACTACCTGCAGCTTCTTCAGCAGCAGCTACAGCAGCAACAGCAGCACACACAGGTGGCTGTTGCGCAGGTAAGAAACAGGCGCAGTGTGCAGGTTGTGTGAAACAAAACAGCAGACCCGGCTGAAAACACATTATCACTATATTTCAATACTCTTATTTAGTACAGTGTTATATTTCACCAACTAGTCTGACTGTTAGTGTTTTAGATTACATTTGACATCTTTAAATGTGTTGTTCTGTTCAACCAGAAAACAGAGAAAGAAAAGCAGCAAATCCTCAGACGTGAGAAGTTCACGTTTTTTATTTTACAAACGACTGAAACAGTGCATTGATTAAGAAGCTAATGTTAAATAGCTGATTATTTTTCAGCTGATCTACTAATATATGAATTGATTAACTGCTTCAGCTCTGCACAGATTGGTCCTTATAATAATAATCCTATAAATACACATAAACATTTCTCTTTTAACACTTTATTAAATGAGATTGACACTTTTCATTCAGTCTGTGCTCTTTTTATAATCTTCCACTGACAGGCTAATTTCAAATCCATAGTCTTTCTTCAGAGAGGGGAACCAGATCATCAATATCAGATAAATTCACCTTGATATTCACCTGTTTTCAGTCAGGGGCATGTATCATTTATTTTTACCCTGACTTCAATTTTAGTAGGCCTAGCTGAAATGCTGAAGTGCTGTGGATTTACTTCATCCAATATGGCATGAATTATTAACCATTATTTGGCTTCAGTAATACTGATAACATCTGGCAGCGTACTGTATGGTGTAAAATGAAACAAAAAAGTTATTTGGCCAACTAGACTTGTATATGTACACTGGCATTTACTCCACCCATACATTCTTAGGATTCACAGCACTCATGGTACACATTTACTGTGCCTGAGGCTAATACCATACATTTAGGATGAACTGTTTGTAAAAACCCCTTAAGCAGTTGAGATTTATGATGGTGATCTTCATCTTTGCAACTAGGTCATTGCACACTTCATCAAGTATCTGTCTGTTATTCAAGTCTCGATAAAATCTGTGTGAACCTCATGGCAACCCTGTGTTATCTCTATGCACTTTATGTCTTTTACTGATGCTGTCCACTAGAGGGCAGCACCAACACAGTAATGGAAGGACAGTCAGTGCACCATGAGCCGATCATTACTTTGAGGCGTGAGACAGAAAAAATAACCATTGAAACAAACATTTTTACAGATAATGCTTTGAGGTTCTGCATAGAAATGAAATCAGAAATGTTCACCTGTAAACAAACACACCTTGCCCTGTGTTTCTCACTACAGGTGCAGTTATTGAAGGATCAGATGGCAGCAGAGACTGCTGCTCGTATGGAGGCTCAGGCCCGTGTCCACCAGCTGCTGCTGCAGAACAGGGACTTGCTGCAGCACCTGGCCCTGCTCGTGCAGCAGCTGAAAGAGTTGGAGGCCCGCTCCCCAAAAACAACACAACCAGGGCAGCCACAACAGGAGCCTCAGGCTAATGGGCACAGTAAGTGACTAGAGAGGTGACTGGTGGGAACATTGTAATCCCTCAGATGAATTCATGTCAGGTCAGGTTCCCAGTGTGCTGCAGTCCTTGTCATTGCTCACTCCCCTGTTGGCAAGGGTATGGTGTAGACATTCATGACACAAACCGTGATCCCTCACTGGCTTCCTGCCTGGAAACATTGTCAGGTGTGTTTGACAGGCAGAAGCACAGCTGCCAGGGATTGAACCCCATCTGCAGGTGAGCACGAGTGCTTTTCCCATTGCGCCACCTGGGTGTCCTTTAATTGAGCATTTCACTTGTATCTGCACTAAGGAGAAAAAACGTTGTCCACCAAGTGTGAGCAAAACCAGTTTAATGTATTCCTGTAGATGCTACTGAGGTTTTTTTTAATGCTGAAAATGTCTTGATCACAGCATCAAAGGAGACACTTAAGTCACCGATAATGAGGACTAATGCAAAAGCCCAGATCATTTAAATGATAAAGAGGGGAAAGACCGAAGGGAAAGACAGCGAGTTATTGCTTAAACATGTTTTCTGGTCAGTTAATTGGATCTTAATTTCACAAAAGCATTTGCACATGAATTCCAAAAATCCCATAAATGAATACAGTTCTCTGTTTTGATATAGCTAATTTAAGATCTGATTGTCAAAATTTTACATTCTCTTGTTTTATACTTCTCTCGTTTGTGGAAAACAAGCAGCATGCATTCAGTTAATGTTTATTATAGTGACTTGCACATCTTAGTTTACTTTGTTAGCATGCTAACATTTGATAATCAGCATTAAATACAAACTACAGCTGTTATGCTGATAGAATGGTCATTACCTTTGCATGTATTTGGTCTTAAACCAAAGTATTGAGCAAATACAACTCAGTCTTGACTAAATAGGTGGACCAAATGACATACAGATTATAACTGCCATCCATAGAGCCATAAAAATAACACTATAGCTTTATTAGGTACATACAATTTAATTCAACAGATCTGCTACAAATTCTCCAGTTAGGAAACTTCTAATGTTCAGTTGACACTGTCAGAGAGGTGTTATTTCATATTACTGAGGTCATAGTCGGTGGTTGTGTTGTACTAGACTAGACTGCATTATATTCAAATGTGTCATGTTTGTAAATGGAGTGGGTAGAATATTAGAAACCTTTCTCAATGCATTGCCACTTCAACCACACTGCAAACTAAACAGTAAAATGAATACAGTGTCAATCAAACCTGAATAATATTATCTTTGTAAAGCTATAATTTATGGCTGAGTTGTAGTCTTAGATTGCATTAGATTTTACAGGTATACCTAATAGAGTGCCCACTAAATATAAAAATGCAATACCAACTGCAGCTGTGTCTGTGATATTTCAGAATGGGATTATTCACTTGAAATGATCACTTTCAAATGAATGTTTTTACATAAGCCGAGGGCCACGCATCAACACCACGCTCTCACTGTGTAACACAAGGCGTGTAAACAACATATTTTTACACACAATAGCATCTCCGTACTAAACTAATAGCAGATTATGTGATCACAGTGGATGTAAAACCATTCTGTCAGCATTATCTCATACTCACAGGCTGCAGTTCTCAGTGAGAGTTTTGATCGTGTTTACAACCTTTATTTTGGTACACACATACACACACACACACACACACACACACACACACACACACACACACAAACACACTTTTTTGGTGGAGGGATGTATTTACAGCAGCTAAAAGAATGGTCAGTCTTGCCAAAATAATAATGAATAACTACTTGCACACACACACACACACACACACACACACACACTCGCACACATACAGTGGGCAGAGCCGTGTATTTATCAATCTGTGTACATACTGAGTGTTTTGACGTGTGTGTTAGTGTGCATATTCTGAAAATGACACACACATGTTTCATGCTTGTATTAATCATGTTAGTCCCTCTGATGGAAAATGCTAATCTTACTAATCTCAGACATATCTTAAGCCTAAGTGCTGCCACTGTCACAGTGCCAACTCCTCCTTTCTATAATGGGAGTCAGCACTTAGAGAGATCTTTAGAAAAAGAAAAAGCTAACACGGTGGTTGACTCATTCTTGTTATTCTCTTTACTTGTTGTTTTTAACAGTGGCATTTTGTTGATCTGTCTTCTGTGTTATTTGTCTATTCCAGACGGTCAACAGTCACCTTGCAGCTCAGTTTCTACATCAGTAAAGTCTCTGTCTCTGAATCTGAAGAATCACTACAGCCAGGCCCTGGACCAGCTCATCACCTCCACGCCCGCATGGCCCCTCCAAACCTCACCCCTCTCCCCCACCCAAGTGGACTGCGCCGAGTCCTACCTGAACCTGCTCAACCTGGAGAACAGCACCAAACCAGACGCATCGGTCAACGGAGACCTGGACCCCTTCATCGAGACCAATGGGAGAGCGGACGACAAGGAGGGCTCGTGCAATGAGATCGTCCCGTTTACGCTGAGGAACTCAGTCAACATGGATGAAAAGTAAGACAACGTTTGTTTGTACTCTACCAACACACAGAAATAACTGGCAGCATATAGTGGAAGCAAATCATTCTGCAATGAAGCCTACATTAAAGGAATAGTCTGGCATTTTGGGAAATGTGCTTATTATTTATCCTTCTCATGTATGAGTTTTTGGTCTGAATATCATCCGATTTTTGACACGGGGCACATACCTGTTGAGCAAATTGTCAGCGTTCCTGGAATATAAGAACCATGTTGATGGGACATTCTGAGCCTTACTAATGTCAAAAAAATATCGATAGTGCAACATGAAAAAACTTTGTATCAATTGATCTATCTACTTCTATTTGAGATAGATTTTGCTTGGCATGTAAACAGGAAGTATAATGTTGCCCTGGTGTCAATTCGTTAGCTATGGGCTACAACTCGAGCCCCATTCTTTTAGCCTTTATTTGTTTCCATTTTGCTAATCGGCACCATTAAAAGTATGCCAGATTAGCTATTAGCAGTTCCTGATGGCAGTGTACCCATGGCTGCACAGATATCACTGGGTTACTTTGGAATTGAAGAAAACTTAAAAACTTGACAACTCTCAAGCAAGTTCTGGTTTATTTGAAAGGGACATGGAGATACTGTTATCCCGCGTGTCAAAGCATAAGTCACATTGAATCTTAAAAATATGTGTATCATGTCTGTGTGTTCACATTTGACTGAGATATGACTCAGAGAAGGAGTAAAAGTTGTGACGGTCAGGAGCTTAAGCTTTTAGAATACCCTGTGCTGTAGCTCCAAATGTTGACCATGTTGGTAAGTAGGACGAATCAATGGGCCAAATACAGTAACTTCCTGCTGTTTTTGCATGTGACATGTTATATCTTGTTTATTTAATCTGTACAAAGACTGAAGTGCAATAAAAAAAGAACAAATCGTTGTTTTACAGGGGGGTAATCTGCCAGAATATTTCTTGCCTCTGAGCAGTTGCCAGGCAGCCAGCCGACTCAATGAAGTTACTGGCCAAGATATAGTCCTGCTCGTAAGGACCCATAAAACAGTCATTTTTAACCGATTATGTACAGACAAAACAAACAAGATACAACATGTCAATAGTGGAGCTTTAGTGGTGCTAAGCTATGTGACTGCCAGCTATAGCTTCATATTTAATGAACACATGAGAGTGGTATTGATCCCTCATGTAACTCTCTGCTAGAAAGCAAAAATTTCCCAAAATGCCAAACTATTCCTTTAATGTGCGTACACAGTCCTAGCAGTCAGTTTGTATTTGAGGTAACCAGGCTACACAGTGACATACACAGCCCGTAGCTTTTAGTGTTATTAGTGGAGAACAGCTCAACTCAGCAGAAACAGCCTTCAGCTAATGAAAGTGTGACTGTAATCGGGGGATTACAGGACACAGGGAGAAAAGGGCCGGGGTTAGACAAACAAAGAGGGGATCAGGTTTGAGCTTGAAAGAGGGAATCAGAGAAGCTTGAGAGAGAGAATGAGATTTTAAGAGAAACATGGAAACTCCATCAGCTTTAAGTCCGTCCCAGTGTTTCTATTTCATAAAATAACTCATTTTGAAAAGCCATTAAAAGACGTGTCGAGAGAGTAAAGACACTAAATGGAATCATTTTCTTTAGAATAATTCATGATGAATGTGTTCTGCTTTTCGAGGATGTTTGAGGTTCTGTTCCTTGTTTCATTTTATCTCGTGAAGGGCTTTCCTGACTGTACTTTTGACTCAATGTCTGAATGCTCTGGCATGATACACAAGCAGCCCTTACCTTGAATGCATATATGGAGCCACAGCATGTAATTACTTTTTAATGAGCTTTTTAATGAGCTTTTAATCTTCTTAAAGCCATCACAAAGACCAGCTATACTACAAAAAAAAATAAAACATTTACTACATAAGATCAAGCAGAGCTCTCAAGCAGGACAAACTCTTTCCTTTTATTGCCCTCCTTCGCTCTCTCATCCTCTCACTTAATTTGTCTCCCCTCTTGCTGTTTTCTCTCTCCATCCCTCTTTGAAAACGATCCTCAGCGAAATTCCCTGAGGAGAGCACGTTAAAGCTGATTTCAGAACAGACAAGGAGAAAAATAAGGAGTTGGAATTGACTCGGCGGTGTAGTGTGTACTTGCCGTCCTTGTGCTTGATGTTGTAGTTTTGTACGTATGCTTTGTTTTTGTGTGTGTGTGTGTTTGCCTGTCTGAGACTGCAGCTTAGCTCCCTACAGCCAGACTCACATCCTGTGGTTTCCTGTAGCACAGACTCCCAGCCAATCCCAGCTCCCATCCCCTTCACAACCTGAAACTCTACCCCCACTACATATGTCAAAATAAGTTTTTTTCTTTTGCATGAGCTGGAGTGGAAAAATATAAGGAAAGACAAAAGGGAACTACAGATCTCTTCCAATGAGAGGCATCTTGTTACTGTATATTTCCATCTGAACATTAGTTTCATCTGGGAGTGTGTTGTGTGCCTGGCTGAACCCCCCCCCCCTTTCCCTTTATTTATAATTATGTAACAGCCGGCATCTCTTTTCTGTCTGCCTCTCTTCCTCTTGAGCTTTTCTATTTTCTGTCTCAAAGGCTCAAAAAAAAATGCAGCACCGTAGCCTAGAAATATACCACTAGGACATTTTATGTTCTTTTTCTTTAAAGTGACTACCCCCTCCCTGCCATCCTCCCCCTCTTTTATTGGCATGTGTTTGCCTCCTCCAGAGTGACATCATTTTTCTGTAAATAGTAATCATAAAATCTTATGCTGCGTTTATACACAAATGGCATATGAAAATAATGAAATGTCAGGTTGTTACTACACAGAAAAAACACTAATAATTATTCGGGCAGCATCAGGAAAATGGCCAGCAAGTTAGTTTCTGTTATGAAAACAACTATGACCTTTCAAGAATTGGTAGTGTTATGCAGCTTATGTGGCTCAACTATATCTTTTAATCTCACTAAAGCATTGGAAAAATACGGAAAAAATAGGTTTAGAGAAATGGAAACTTCTGCTCCGTTGTGTTATTTTGTTTCCCAACTCTTTTGCATTACCTTTGGTGCAGTCCGACTCCTCCAAGCACCCACCCTCCCCCACCGCACGGCAAATTTTATTGCTTCCATTTGCTTTTGTTTTCTGGATTTCCCCAGCGAATCAATGTTTACAGCCTGAGTAGCCTTATTTTATGTTCTGCAAACTAGCAGACACATACTCCTCTCCCATCTTCTCTCACCTTCTCTCCTCCTCCTCCTCCTCCTCCCTTTTTTCGCCCTGCCTAAGCTGACCTCCCCACCGGGCCCAGTGCTGGTCATGCAGAGCGATGGAGTCCGTTCACTTCACATTATTTGGGCAGCTTAGCTTTAAATCACATAGGCATTATCACCCAACATGGACCATATCCATGTGTGCTCTCCAGCTGGCCCACTGACTCGAGTACTGTATGAACACTGCATATGGTATGTTGGCACACCATACCAACATTATATCTAACCATGTAGTGAGTCACGCTTTACAAAACAAAGAGAGAAATTGGAGTAGTAACAAAACAGGATGTAATAGTAGACTTAAAATACATCTTGTGGGCATAACATTGAAGTGTGTTATTTGCAACATTTTGAGTCATCAACCTCTTTATCGGACCCACATGAAAACCAAGAGTCAAAAGCCATGCTGTGAGGCTGTACTCCGGCACAACAGTGCTTTGAGATAAATGCTAACATGTTAGCAGCTATAATTTTATTTTGTTGACCATATTACCAATAACTTGCATCAGATGGTTTGTTACATAGAACCTTCTGGGGAGTCGTTGTTGGAAACTGTTTGTAAAAGGGCAGGAACTTTCAAAAAATACTCGGTAGGGGATTGGATGAACCATCTGTCAATCAACGTCTATCACATGCAAACTCATCAACGAACCATATAACGTCAAACTCCTACTGAAGCTGAAGCTCTTGGGGGAAGAGCGAAAACATCTTTTCCAGTCGAGAAAAGCTTTCTGTGGTGTTTTTGCTCCTCTTTGAATAAGTAAATATTCTCCAGCTCTGATAGGACCGATGGTAGCAGCATCTATGCTGATTTCCACAGGAGCCTCCATTGGTATTTAATTAGCATGCCTTCTCGTTGCGTCACACCTAGTGACCCCAGCTGAAGCAAAAGTATTATATCATTTAAAATGTTGAACAGATGGCGGTGCTAGAGGAAAAGTCAGGGGATCACCAAAGAGATGCCATATTTCATGGCAATCCATCCAAAAGTTCAAAGAGAAATCTTATTAAAAACCTACAAATATCAACCTCGTGGTGGCGCTAGAGGAAAGGTCAGAGGATCCCTAAAGCCTATATGATATATTGTCTAAGAAACATGAATGTCTTTACAAAATTTCATAGCCATCTATCCTTAAATTGTTGAGATATTTCAGTGTGGACTGACCAACATGGCCATCCCTAGAGCCGTGCCGCTAAAAACTGCAGCTTGCCCACACAGAGCAAAAAACAGACACATATGGCGACCAGCTTATATGAACAGTCAACTATATATTATTCACAAGTGAGTCATGTTTTCCTCTGGCATGGTATAGACTGCACTCTCTCACACACTTTCTCTCTGTCAGTATTGTATGTTGCATAATCACATTTCCTGACCTGCTCTGGTGATCATCCCTCCACCTCTGTCCTTTTTTTTTTTTTTTTTGGGTTGCCTCGATGTGAATGATGAAGAGCCTCATCGGCCGCTAATTTGATTGCAGCGATGTGATCGGAGTGTAATGGACAATATCTCCAGCCGTTTGGGTGGAGCTGGTTCTGTCGGCTGGATTTACACGCTGCTACACGTTGTTGTTCAGAGAGAGAAAGTCGTTTTAAGAGGTTTGCCTAAAGATTTATTATGTTCTCCGGCTGAATGCGATGCCAGGAGAGACGGAGAGTCAGCCTGTCAGTCACTGAATAATCTCTGACAGGGACTCTGTCAGGCAGGGATGCTCTTTAGAATATAATTGCTTGATTTTTGGGAGTTTT